TGACCACTCGCCAACCAGAAGCAATTGCAAGACTTTTGTTGTTTTGAGATGTCCCTTATGTTAGGCATCACCACCATCTAGTTCATGAGCAGTGCTATTCTTAGACCATAATGAAATACCATTGTACCAGGGAAGTATAAAGTATAGGATAAGGGGCATAAAAGGGTAGGTTTGACAGCTCAAATTAATTAATCTTTATGCGCGCTCTTTACTTTTTCTGGATAAATGCCCTATGTCCTATAGCTTTTGAAGATCCCGGTAAAAAAATTACAATAATTCTGCTGTAATCCGTTCAGGCAGTGGGTCGTTGTCCATCAGGCACTGGATGTCCTAATACAGCCATCTGTGCTAACGGCTTATGTTGTCCATCACCTCGCTGCTCATCCGGAGTTATTGCGTTGCGCATTTGTGTATCCAGTGCAGAATGCGGTGTTGGATTCGAGTGTACCAATGGTGGATGTTGCCCACTTCCACTTTGTCCCAATAACCAAGTCGGATCGCAAAGGTGATAATTTTTTTTGTTTTGTCAAACTGTGCTAACTTGGATACAACGTATCTATTTGAATTACCTGAATGTAGGCCGTATGCATAATAATCAAGATAACAAGGAATGGTAATAAGTGGTTAATGTCGGGACGATTGATGTAAAAAAGCTCGATAGGCGTCCGCATCTTCATAAAGAATGATTTTAAAAATAATAATAAATTTATAAAATACTACATACTACAGCAGAGAGGGCGAAGAAGTAACTGGAAAAAATATTATACATTCCTATTTAGCCCCGCAGCTGCAGCTAATCAGTGCGCGTGATGTTATTATACAGCTGCCATCGTCTATTCACCTGGTCTCTGCATTCTTGCTGTTCACGGTTTATTATTGCAGTTTAGTCTGTAAATTACCAAGACTAACAAGACCGCTGAAACAGTTGATGTCTGACGTTAATGATGTTGCTAGGATGTTCCAAACACCACGTGCAGCCAGGCTAGGTATTTCGATCCCGGCTACA